TACAGTATGTTGATTTTTACAATGCTGCCGTCTACAGAATACAATTTGAATTATTGAAAATTACTATGTTATTTAGTAAATTTTTTTTCCGTAAGAGCAAGTGAATAAGGACGCATACTATATGTTTTAATAAAAGAGAGACAGAGTCTAGTAGTTTGCGACGCCACCACCGAAAGATGACCAACTACTGTATGGAGGGTCTTATTATGTGACTGAATAGAAAAGTTAGGTATTCCTTACGATAGCGTAAGGGGATAAACCTTGGGCTTGTGTCGGAGAGGGCACCGGGTTTGATTCCTCGGTGAAACAGAATTATTTTTTCGATGACCTACACTTCTTTTTAATTTGAGTGATAGAAATTTACAATGTTGCATCGCATAAATTATATTGTTTGAGTTCTGGTCCGGCACTACAATGTTTTATACTAAAAATTACTATGTTACCATTGTAATTTTTCATAGGATTTTCTCTCCGTGTACGTACACTGAACAAAAAGTTGTGCTAAGGTAACGATCGAGATTGTTACTAAAAGCTAAACAGATCGTTCCCGTAACGAGACCCTTGTAATTATACAGTAGATCGCGCTGAACATGAAATTTCTTTTTCAGTACATGGGTAAAAATAAAATTTTGTCGTACGATATCTTTGAAACACGTTAACCGATTAAGGTGAGCGACATGGCGTTAAAAAGTGTTTATTGAGACTTTTTTTTTGGAGTCTTACGCGTCAGCCTTCTGGCCTAGACACGTGGGATTTTTACGTCCCTTCCTACTATTTATTGTGTTTGATGTGCCGAACTACACATCTTAACCTCCTATCCGCGGCTGTGGCCGTCTTACAGTCTGTACCCGCATTCGCCTGTGCCCCACCCTTAGCACAGTGACCAAGGAAACCACAGAAACCTGGCCAGGATACAGTCGGCACGGGAGCAAGCCTTGGAAATCGCAGAAAAATTGCGACTGCCAGGGCTCGAACCCACGCCTGAGCGACTGTTGTACGGGCAGTTTAAGACTTAAACCGCTCGGCCACGCAGTCGCCTTTTTTGATATAATAATAAAATTCTATTTTTTTACCAAATGAGCATTATAGGTCGTGCAATTTTGGATTTTCCAAACGTTTTCTAAGTGTAACTTGAAAATTTTTTCTTATATTCATAATCATATTTGCTTAGACAATAAGTACTATAAAATATAAGAAAATAATGAAAAAACTTAGTTAAAATATTTAAAATCTAAAAACAAATTAATTAACAAAAAGATCTACTACTTTGTTCACTACGGACTTGAAAATCTCGCGCCAAAATTACGCTGCTGCTGCCTTTCATACGACTAACGGTGATTTTTTAAAACAAGTTTTCCATAATGAACCAAAAAAATGACCGAAAATTTTTTCACGACCAGTTGCTTACAGTCGGCGACAAAATATATTCAAAAATATTCAATAGAAATATCTAACATGGAGTTCTCTACATGGAAATAGGAATGTTTTCATGTACATACGTTAGCTATCGTGGACGGGAGAAATACATGTCGCCGACTGTATTTTACAATTCACATATTACTATTTATTGTCGTAACCTATTTATGTTTTTATCTTTATTAAAAATAATAAAGGTACATACAAGGCGTTGGTTTAAACCAATGTAGCCAATGTTTTACATAAGACATAACTTATGTGATATAAAGCGCACGAGGCCCTCTGTGAGACAATGTTCAAATAAAAAAAAGAGATAAAAAGAAAAGGAATCATTATTAATTTACAATACATACTGATCAAACTCTTTTTCAAGTAATTCCTTAAATTTAGTTCTAATAACAATTAATAATCTACAATTATTATTATTATAACTTTTGTCAAAAATTAACAGTGATCAATTCTTAGATGAGATACATGATGAATATTTAACACTTATAGACAAACCAATATGCTATCAACCGATGCCAAGCCTGATCCACCTCGAATAAGTAAAAAAACTAACAAAAAAAAATACACCGTTTGTTAGTAAGATGTTTACCCTTTTTAACCAAAATTATATTTGAAATCTTTTAGATCAATCTTGCCAAAACGGCACTGAAAGAACATTTTGTAAATCCCGTGATGAACTTTATGATAATCAATCCAATCACTCAAAAAAGCAAAAAGAAAACAAAAAGCTAAAAACGAGTAAGTCTTCGTTATTTTGTATATTTTTTAACATACTTAATATTAATTTTGTTACAGAGAGTTCCGAAAATGTAGTTAATTATAATATTAATTACTCTAACCATATAAGTATTGGAACAACAAATACTTATATTTGTAATATAAATCAGATATGTGAAACTAACCAACTACAAAATAAAACCAATAATGAATGTGCCATATTGGAGATGCCTCATAATGTCAAAAAGTTAAGTTTTTCTGAGCAACAGCTTACTGCCAAAAATATGTTTTTTATTAAAACTCATTTGGGATATGGCTGGAGAAAATTTTTTAAATCCTTAGGATATACTAATGGGCAGTTAGATCAATTTGTAGAAAACTATCGAATAAAAGGAATCGATGAGGTAACACAATTTTCTTTTAAAAAATTCAACAATGAGAAAGAAATACAAAAATGTTAACAGAATATTTCTTTGTTTAGGTCATTTATCAACTTCTTCTGGACTGGAAATGTTTAAATGGCAAAAATTCTTCAGTTGGAACTATTGTTAATCACTTATGGAAATGTCAACAATATGAATGCGCACAAATTTTTGCTTCTAGTTTATAGATTTTCTTATTTATATTAAATAAGTTTTTTTTTTCCACTTTAAGATAACGAACGCTTTAGAGGAAACTTAAAGCTAGGCTGTATGTTCAATGGATTTTCAGAAATTTTATTATTCTCCTTATGTCTGTAATAAGTCTAGAAATTAAGTTTCTGGAAACGAACATATGACTAATTACTGCGGAAGCTTTATATTTTCCGATTTCAAAATTTTTTTAAAAAGTGTTCATAAAAATTAAATTTCTGAAAATATATTTTCTACTGTTCACCTTTGAAGAGGATTTTTGCTTAAGATATATTTTTTATTGATATTTATAATATTGAAAACCAATCATTATTATGAGTACGGATTTAAGGAATCTGGCAAATTCAGAAAACGTTATTTCAGTTGACACATTAGTAAGGGAAAAATAAATTAATAGTTTACCAGTGAATAATTTTAATATCAATTATTTAAGCGAATTCTATTTAAATTTAATTTTACTTTCAATTAGTTTTTTTTTTTTTATATTCCTTGCTGGTGTAGTCCAGCTGGCCTCTATGAATATCATGTACAGCCAATGTTTTTTCTCAGCAATGAGCTGAGTCCTCACAGTCGAAGATAATCGAAAATTAACCTGGCGCATAGCGAAAATTATCCGACCATGGTGGGACTCGAACCCATGCTTGGCCAGTACCCGTAGTTCGAAGTCAAGCATGTCAGCCGCTTGGCTACAAGTATTGGTTTTTCATTTAGTTATATTTTACTTTTAAAGGTCTTCTTAAATCACTCGACAAATATATATTTTCCCGCGACTAAAATGCCCTATTGCGTTTCGAAGGGCGAATGTGTGCATGTGCGCATGTGCCTCGATTTAAATGAAAAAAATCAAAAAATCTTCATTGAAAAAAAGTTCACGAATACAACCAGTCATACATGGGTGCCAGAAATTCCACTCAAATTATTTTCATTCGAAAATACAAAATCTGCAAAGTCATAAATATCCGAAATGAAAACTATTCAAAATTAACAATATTTAAAATTAATTATAATCAAAAGAATAAAATGAAACAAACGAAAATTTATTTATGAAATCTGGTCGAAGTAACACTAGTCAAAGAGCGATATATACGAATGATAAATTGTTCGAAAGTTCATGTATCAGTTTAATATTTGAAAAATCAAAATTTTATACATTTAGAAGTTTACGTCTGAATAACTTTAGAACGGCTGTGTTTATGATAAAAGTATAGAAGACCTTTTTTGTAGAGCGTTGATATAAATATAAATAATGCTGTGAAGCGGGAAAGAATAGGAGTTACGGATAATTATTACGTGAAGCGTTCCAACATTCACGTAACAGGATAATTGGTAGGAAAGGATTGAGAAAGGATTGTGGAGAGGATCATCTTAATGTGAGTTTATAGAATATGCGAGAAAAAATTATTAGATAGCTCGGACTGGGATTCGAACCCAGAATCTTCCGAAGCGTGAATGTTCCTCTCCTCATTTTCTTAATGTATAATTTCCAAAAACAGGCTGCATGTAGGCGAGAACAGAAGCCTGTTCAAAGCGAAGCTCTTAATATTAATATTTAGAGGTGCCTGTCCCTAATTTTTCATTTCCCATTTAAATAACATAGGAAAAAAAATTTTTTTTTTGTTTATTTTTCTAGCTCAACATACGCACCTCAGATAAATAAGTCCATAGCATATTCTTATAGGGAATTCAACGCTCTACAAAAAAGGTCTTCTATACTTTTATCATAAACACAGCCGTTCTAAAGTTATTCAGACGTAAACTTCTAAATGTATAAAATTTTGATTTTTCAAGTATTAAACTGATACAAATTAATTTATTACTGTCTTAAAAATTATTTTTATATGTAAAATTGGTTCTGATGCGCTAACATATTCATAAAGCTAAAAAAAAAATTAGAAAAACGGTTCACCCTAAAGGCCATCCCTGCAACTTCCCGCTCATTTTGTACTTAAATGCTTCAAACTACACATTACGTTTTTGAGCTCTTCGAGCTCAAAAATATTATTTTTGTGTCAATTAGAGCTCTTCGAGCTCAAAACTCTAATAGCAGTTTAAAGACACAGTTTTTTGAATTTTCAAACGGCAATAACTTTTGAATGAATGAACCAATTTTCACGCGGTTGGCGGCAATCGACGCAGTTTTTGAAGCTCCATGAAAAATTTCCAAGTTTAAAAATTTCCAACTTTTTTCGATTTTTTTCGACAACGATATCTCACGAACGCATCAACCGATTCTAACGTTTTTGGTTGTGATCGATGGGGGTTTTCAAGGTTAAGAGCTGATTAGTTTTTGAGACCGATCGGTTCAGCCAATTCGGAGATATTAAAAAAAAATATAAAAAAAACAACTTTTTTTTCACTTTTTTTGCATTTTCTCGAAATCTACCGGTCCGCATCGGTTCAAATTTTCAGAAAATCTAAGTTTAGTGAAGCCCTTTCGAATGACACCAACCGCGGTGAAATCGGTCAAGTCGTTCAAAAGTTCCAAGAGGTTTACATACACACGCTCTTCGAGCTCAAAAGTTTGATAAAACACTATTTTTTTTATTTTCAAATCGCAATAACTTTTGAATGGATCAACCGATTTTCACACGGTTGGCGGCATTCGACGCAGTTTTATCATCCTCATAAGTTATTTCCAGGTTTTAATTGATCGAACCAAAAATTTCAGAGTAATTGCGAAAAAACACTTTTTTCGGTTTTCTTTCGTTCACGATAACTAACGAACGAATCAACCGATTTTGACCGGACTAGCGGCGATCGACGTGGTTTTTTTATGTTAAGAGCTGATGAGTTTTTATAATTGATCGGTAAAGCCGTTTAAAAAGTATTCCAAAAAAACCACTTTTCAAAAAATTTTTTTTTGTAGTTTTTTTGCAATTTCTCAAAATCTACTGGTCCGAATGGGTTCAAATTCTCAGGAAATCTAAGTTTGGTCAAGCCCTTTCGAATGGCGCCAACCGCGATCAAATCGGTCAAGCCGATTAAAAGTTATAAGCGGTTCACATACTTTCACACACACACATACATACAGACACCGTGACAACCTCGCAGGGATAGTCAGGGAAGCTTCCTGTGACCTTCAAACGTCGAGATCTGATGAAAACTCGATTTTTGCAAAACGGGGTGAAAACAATAACTTCCCGATTTTTGAAAATCTGAGATTTTTAGCGGGAAGTTAAAAATTACCCATGTATCAAATTTTTTTCTTCTTTATTTCATTAACTGTAAGAAAATCATGACCCGAGTTGAATGAATTAAATTTTTAAAAAGTTTCACGGAATTATCAATTTACTACTCTACACGGAGAGATAAGATAAGTTTGGAAAATCAGAAAAGTGCACGTCTCATAACGCTCATCTATCACAAAAAAATCTGGACCCTATTTATCACAAAAAATGGTTGACCCTAAAGGCCATCCCTGCAACTTCCGCTAATTCCATATCTAAGCCCTTAAAATTGCACTTATGAGGTTTTTGAGCTCTTCAAGTCAAAAGTCTGATAAAAGTTTCAAAGAACACTATTTTTTGAACTTGCGAAGTGCAATAGCTCTTAAATGAATCAACGAATAATCGAAAAAAATGTTTTTTTTACATAACGTCGACATTTCTTTTGGATTCTTTTTGATGAAATGAAATAATTTTCGGTGTCTAAAAAAACCACGTCGATTGTTGCTAAGAACTCGAAAATGGGTTGATTGGTTGATTGATCGTTACCATCAACAAAATATTAAAATTTCTTTATAACAGTCAACAAAACACTGTATTTACGCTTCAATTCTTTCAATTTTATTATTTTTTTTCATTTAATATAGGGGAGGGTGGGGCACGGCGGCCCACCTGGGGCACAACGGCTCACCTCAAAAATTAGGTAAAAGATTTTTTTTTTATTTTCTGTCAAATTATGACCTCTACGATGTTTTTATGATATTTTGGGCCAATACGTGATATGTGAGGCATAATGGACCACTCGTGAAAAAAAATTGTATCAAAAAAAATTTTTTTTGTTTTTTTTTTAATTGTTAGAAATTTAATCAATTAATTTTTTTAAGCCTTCTCAGGTCAATGGGATTTATCTGAGGTAAAATGGATTAAGAAAAAATTTTGTTGAACTGAAAAATTTAACAAAAAATTGAATTATATAGCTTGCAAAAAATTGAAAACACAGTTTTTTGAAATTAAAACAATATTTTAATTATATTATTAATTATTGATCACGATATCCTCTGCGTCAGGCAGAAACCCAATTTCAAAGTCCTACTTGAGTTTCTCCAAGGATGTCTTACTCTACGCAATTTATATTTCTAATTTTGGCTTGGAAAAAATAATAAAAAAAAAAGACCTGGTTCAAGATATTACGTACTTTAAAATTTCAGTCTGAAGACTTAACATGTGATTTTAATTAATGTAACTAATTAATTGCTGAATACCATCTCTGTTTTTTAACTTCCCGCTAAGAAAATTGAAAATTTTCAAAAATCGGGAAGTTATTGTTTTTACCCCGTTTTTCGAAAATCGAGTTTTCATCAGATCTCGACGTTTTGAGGTCCTAGGAAGCTTCCCTGACTATTCACGCGATGGTGTCCGTGCGGCTGTATGTGTGTGTGTGTGTGTGTGTGTGTGTGTTTTTTTCCTTTAGGGGGGGGAATCCTTTTTACGGATTCTAGGCATAGATGTTGGCCCAGATATGTGGCGACTCGACGCAGCGTCGTACTAAAACTTGACGCTGACGCCCCTACCCACTAAACCCTAAGCCCCTTTCTCTTCTATCCTCTGATCCCCCATGGTACCGCCGTAAGGCATTTCTTCGCGGGGGGAGGAATTAGCTGCCGCTCTTCCTTCTGGTGGCTAAGATGTTATCTTCCTTCTAGTTTCTGTCTTTTGCTCTTTTTCTCTCAATGGAATGCAGCTCTGTAAGCACTTCTGTGGCAAAAGTGTTCGTTGCATTCCAGGCAGCTTCTGAAGACAGCATTGCTTCTACGATTGACTCTGGTTGAATTGTCTTCTTCAGGATCTTCTCCAGCTCCTCACGTTGTTGATTGAAACGCGAGCACTCGAAAAAAAAATGTTCTGCATCTTCAGTGGCTCCAGGGCAGGACGGGCACTCCGGAGAGTCGTCATGCCTAAAGCGGTGAAGATAAGCCCGAAAGCAGCCATGTCCTGACAACATCTGTGTTAGGTAGTAGTTGACCTCACCGTGATTCCGGTTCAGCCAAATGTCGATCTTTGGTATGAGACGATGCGTCCATCTACCCTTCTCTGCGGCATCCCACTGTAGTTGCCATCGACTTATGCTCCTCTGCCGCTCTTCTGTTCCAAGCTCCTCAGCGCTTAGTGTTGTTGACCTCTTTCGTTGGTAAAGGTTCCGTCTTTCTTCAGCTAGGACTCTGAGAGGTAGAGTTCCAGAAATG